ATATAATTTCAAGCAACACAGCTTCTGATAGACTGTGAATTTAAAAATAAGCAAATGAATAATTAAATAAATAAGGATGATAGATGGATAGGGAATGATCAGTGGTATGGATTATAATAAAGTTAGAAAGTTTAGTAAAATATTAACTATATCACTACAATCTACATGGTAGGTATATTGGTATTTACTGAAAATTCTTTCACCTTTGCTTTATGTTTTACAAGTTTTATGATAAACTGTTGGGAAGGAAAAAGGGGAGGGAAAAATTTTGATATTCTGCTGATAACAGAGACCAGAAATACCACTGGCTTAAACAAAACAAGGGTTTTCTTGTTGTTTTGTTGGTTTGTTTGTTTGTTTGTTTTCATGTAAAATGAATTTAGATGGTGGCAGTCCAGGGCTGATCTGGCCGCTCAGAGATGTCATTCATGACCCAGCCTTCTTCTGATTTCATTCTCTGCTGTCTCTGCATGTGGCTTCCAACCTCAAGGTTGCCTCATGGTCCCAAGAGGGCTGCTGCATCTCCAGTTCAAAAGCCTACATCCTAGGCAAGAGGAAGAAGGAAGTACGGAGAGTGTACCTCACACTTCCCGCTATTTTGGCCTCCCTTTTGAAGGATCTCTGGGAGAAACACAAGCCCACAACTTTCACCTACAAACTATTGGTTTCAACTTAGTCCCTTGGTCTCCAATAACTATGAGATGGAAAAGCATATTGCAGTACCCAAGAAAATTAGGCCTTATCACCAAGAGAAAAGAGGGAACGTATGATTCAGAAGCAACCAGCCATCTCAGCCAGATACTGCACAGCCTAAATTCAATCATTTACAATATAATCAAATTCCATCAGCCCCAGTCACATCTTAGCTTTAGGAGCTTTGATCACTGACTTGCAAATCCCAAAAGTGTGTTTTGAGGTCCTAGGCCACAGGAAGTACCAGTTTGTCCCACAGACCTCTTACAGAGATGGCATTCACAGTCTATCTAGTGTGCAGCTTCAGAGAGTATGTACTCCACTGGCAGCACAATAAACAAATACACAGGGAAATACTATATAGCACAAACCAGGAGCTAAGGGCGAATGAAGATGCTCAGAAACACCTGCACTAAAAATTTCCTGAAAAAGGTAAAACATGTCAAGCAACACTGCCTCTGGAAACCAGAAAAATTATATTATTTGATAACAGATCCTAAGCCTGGATGTTGGAGGTGCTTAAAAATGTGCATTGTGTCTGGCTTTCTTTCCATTTATATGTTATTTGACTCTGCAGTAAAATCTCCTCCTCCTCCATGTACCCATATTCATGCTAGCAAATGTTAGCAAACTGCCACAATAGCATTTTAATTAGTGCACATCTGTCTCTCTTCTTTTAATTAGTGCACATCTGTCTCTCTTCACCACATTATAATCTTTTCCCATTTTGTTCTGCTTATATTTCTATTATGATAAAAGACTTAAGACAAGTAAATACATAGAAATACTTATATACATGCACGTGCAAGAATGATTCAGATAGATAAACACAGAAACACAAACAGTAAGGGAGGTAGGGCTGGAATTTTCCTTCAACATGTACAATTCAATGTACTTTCAATTTTCATTTCAACCTTCCTCAGTGGTTTTTTTCCTAGCAGCTGATGAGAAACATCACCTCTGAGCCAATCAAGAAACTAATTCTTCCAAAGAGAGATTATTCCAATTCCTCACGGTGACCTGACAGCCTCTGCTTTCTTTTTCCTTTCTTCGGAATGAGAGACTCAACCATAGTAGAAAGAATGGAGGACTATATTAACGACCCTTCTTCAGTGGGCTGTGATTTTCAAAGGGGAATACTAAGTTGTAAGTAGGGGATATTGATTACAGCCTGGGTTACAATGCCTGGGAGGACAGTGGCTGAATCACTGAGAGTGGTGAGTGGGCATGCAGGGAAAGTACTCACTCAGAGAAAGGGTGAGGCGCCTGTGTTTGTGTGTGTATGTGTGTGTGTGTCTGCATGGGCACCCACACACATGTGTGGCTATGCGGGGAGAGACAAGTAGTGCAAAGAATAAATACCTGCAGATGTTGGGATTTGGTGGAAGGAAAGGGAGACAACATAAATGAAGAAATATTCCAACTGCATGTTCTTAAGAACGTATTGTGGTCAGAAAAGGGCAAAAAAGTCTCTAAAATCTGTTCTGGCCAACTCAAGCCATCTATTCTAAGAGATTCTAGAAAGAGATGTGCCTTATAGATTCATATGTAAATTTGTTCATTATGGAAATATTTATAATATAGAAAAATCTGAACCAGCATACACATACAACAGGCGGGGGATAGACAAAAAATGCATGGTTAAATCACAAAGAGATTTCCATGCAGTCTTTAGGAATTGTGTTTTTAATGAAGGGCAATTATTTCTAATTTTAACAATGTTGGATCCATACATTAAACCTTGTTTTGTTTCTTTTAGGAACAGTATATCTTTTTCCTTCCATTCATCATTTCCCCAAAACCTAACATATGTGTTCCAATGGATACAATCTATTTCACTGTATGAATATACAATTATTTTTTAATACTTTCCTACTTTGGCTTTTCAATTATCTATATTTGGCTTCTGTAGATTTTATTATACTTAACAGCCTCAGGCATAAATTTTTGTCTTAATTTCTGATTGTTTTTTTCCTTCAATAATAATTCCAATAAGTGGAACTTTTGGGTAAAACATACAACTTCTTTTATTTAAATAGCAGTTCCTTGGTACAGCATGTAACTTTTTAAGGATGCTTGCTGTATATATGACCAAAATGCTTTGAGAAATATTTATATTTCTACTACCAAAGTATATGATTACTACTACAGAGTTTTTTACTGATTTATTGATTTGTAGATATGGGGGTCTCATTATGTTGCCCAGGCTGGTCTTAAACTCCTGGGCTCAAGGGATGCTCCCACCTCAACCTCCCAAATTGCTATGATTACAGGCATTAGCCACTACTTAAACTTTTATTCCTTTATGCTTTCCTTCATTTGCAATATTGACTATAATCAGGAGGGAAAAAAATAAATATCCTTTTAAAAAATGAAAACTTGGGAGGCCGAGACGGGCGGATCACGAGGTCAGGAGATTGAGACCATCCCGGCTGACATGGTGAAACCCCGTCTCTACTAAAAAATACGAAAACTTAGCCGGGCGAGGTGGCGGGCGCCTGTAGTCCCAGCTGCTCGGGAGGCTGAGGCAGGAGAATGGCGTAAACCCGGGAGGTGGAGCTTGCAGTGAGCTGAGATCCGGCCACTGCACCCCAGCCTGGGCGACAGAGCGAGGCCGTCTCAAAAGAAAAAAAAAAAAAAATGAAAACATATGTCTCCCTTTAAGCAGAGCAGAGAAATTGTTAACTCAGAAACCAATGATAATAAAAATGATACCCCTTCTGTAGCAACATAAAGAGCAGTTTTGGGGAGCAGAAGATGTGGTGAAATGCAATGTTTAGTGCGGGTGGGTGCAAGATCCAGGCAGGGGTGGAGGATGGCCGGCTGCACAGACCTCTGTTCCGGTGCTTCCTCTTCATTCCTCCCCACCTCCCTCTGCAGACCTTGTTCTCAAAGGCCATTCCCTGACCCAGGTAGCCACAGCAGCAGGTGTTATGGCTGCAGGCCTCATGCTCCTTTGATTTAGAAGAAACTGTTGAGGAGTTAGTTTTTACTGAGTAGCTAATATGTTCCAAGCAGTATTCTCACTCATAATAATTACTGTTAAGTAATACATGAAAAATTTTAAATTTAAAGCATTTCAATATTTTAATAGTAAAGGGAGCAAAAGGCCAAAATGTCCTTTCACTCACTTAACCTCCAATCTTCAGTTTAGCATGCACCTTTTTATACACTTTTTCAGGTGTTTACATCTATATGTGGAAATGTATAGTTTTGCTTTTGTTTTTCAATTGAATCATTAGTATAGTTCTGCAACATACTTTTTGATCACTTAGTGTGTCTCCATTATCTAGGTTATGACAATAAGTCAACTCTTTTTACCTGCTTCATTGAATTCCCTCCGAGGGATGAGCCATCATTCCTCTAAGCAGTCTCCTGTTGGGTGGCTGGTTCAGTTGGTTACCACTTTTATGCTTTAAAAATAGTGCTGCAGTGTCATTCTCACAGAGGCTTCTCTCTGCACCTATGCAAGTACTTTGCTGGACTAGACATCAGGAAGTGGAATTGCTGGGCCAATTGTGCACATTCTAATTTCACACTTAATGATATTGAATGAGTAAATAAAGTTCCAATGGTTTTGTCCCATAACCGAGATCACACAGCTTGTGAATCTTAGAGCCTTTATCTATTGCTTACCTTTTTTGTGTCCATAACACTAACATAGTAGGCCTGGCCCATTGTGGGTGCTCAGTAAATATTTGTTGAATGACTTTATGAAGGAAGAAAGAAAAGATGAGTAAAACTTGGTCTTATTTGCAGCTCTCTGATCTCTAGCCTTGAATTAAATGTGATGGGTTCAGCCCCTGACTGACTCCAGAGTCCCCACCAGGCAGTCTGCCTGAATCCCACCAGGAGTCCACTGGGCCATGACTTGACCATGATGATGGTCAAGAGTTGAGGCTTTGAGGAGTCCAAGGTATTGGACACCATCTGTGGTGGACCCCAGTGGATCCAAGGAGCCCAGTGAAGAGGGTCCTGCATGAATCAGAGGGGGATAGTGGAGGGTTGGATATGGCAGGGGAAGTTTGGGGAAGTGATAGGATTCTGAATATTTTCAAGCAGTAGAGTCAAGGATTTCTTGATTGGATAACATGTGCATTATACATAGACATGTTTACAGGTAATTTTCCATGTTGGAACTCAAAAGTAAACACCCTGAAGGACAGACTTTTTTGGCACCGGTAAGATCTTCTTCTGTCACTGTAATTGAGTTAGCCCTGGGGAAGTGGACCTGTGGAATCCTATAGCTTCCTTTGGGCCATAGTGTCTGCTCCACACCTTCTGGTGTCTCCTGATATGCAGCACGGATGAAAATGGCAAGTTCCCTGGCCTTTCTTCTGCTCAACTTTCAAGTCTGCCTCCTCTTGGTCCAGCTGCTCACTCCTTGCTCAGGTAGGGAATGATTCCATGATTGTTTCTGAAGCAGACAATTATGTATTAATGTCCTCATAGAACTTTTGACTCCTTCCCAAACCTGGAAGTCCATCCCAACTGGAAGGATCACATGTCACTAAGAGACAAAGAGTGTTTCTGTTAGCATTGGGTCCCCCTCTAGGTTCTCTGTATCTCGCCTTCCCTGTCTGAGAAGCACCCTTCCTCTCATGACCCCAACTCTAACACCCTCTGATGGAGCCTACTCCTTGTGACGACAGCTCAGTTTGCTGTGCTTGGACCCCTTGGGCCCATCCTGGCCATGGTAGGTGAAGACTCTGATCTGCCCTGTCACCTGTTCCTGACAGTGAATGCAGAGACCATGGAGCTGAGGTGGATAAGTTCCAGCCTAAGGAGGGTGGTGAATGTGTATGCAGATTGCAAGGAAATGGAAGACAGTCAGAGTGCAGAGTATTGAGGTAGAACTTCGATTCTTCAGGATGGCATCACTGCAGGGAATACTGCTCTCCGAATATACAATGTTACAGCCTCTGATAATGGAAAGTACTTGTGTTATTTCCAAGATGGTGACTTCTATGAAAAAGCCCTGGTGGAGCTGAAGGTTGCAGGTGAGCCTCCAGGTTTGGTTCTGAGAACATTTCTCTGTAGGATCTAGAGCAGATGCAGAGTTCCTCTTCCAAAAGCACTGCAGACAATCCTGCCTGCTCACTAGCAATTGTCTGCACTGCCT